GAGAGGGGGCGTTTGCTATGAGCCTGGGCGCTCCCCACTCCAGAGAGCAGCCAGAAACATAAGGGCTCTGGCGCAAGCACTCCAAAAGTGTGCCGGCTTGAGCCCGCCAGCCAATCGGCTGGACAAAGATGTGTCCTTCCATCTGCCTCTGTAAAGATGACCCACTGGGGCTCCAATCCATCCCAACCCATCCCAAGCCTGGAGGATGGAGGAGAACGGATTCTGTCCGAGAGGTTTCTGAGGGTCATGTCTGCAGAGGTAGCTGCAGCCACGGCGCTCGCCTGTGGAGCAGCGGGTGAGTTCCGACGGGCCAAGCTCTGAGCGCAGAGCGCGGAACCCGCAGAGCGCCGAACCCGCAGAGCGCCCTTTGGAAAGACAGCCTTGAAGAGCCTGTGGAGTTGGGGGCACTGGGAGGGGGGGGGTGTTGTTTGGGGCCCAGGAAACCCAAAGTCCATTGCGGCTCCTAGTGACCCTGCCGGATGGGATGTGACAGCCTCTCTGGGTTCCCCAGACCGTCTGTCTTGACGGGATGGACAGCCGTATGGATTCTCCTGGCTGGTGGGTTTGGATTGCTAACCTCGGCATGCTTAGCAGCATCCCCAGGCCCCCAATGTAACTAGGGCTCTCTTGTTGGATTTCAGAGGCTTGGTGAATCGTTTATTATTAGTTTTTAACATTTTGTTAGGCGCGCTTACATAGATCATTCCAATCCATAGTTCCATTAGATCAAGCGTAGTGGTACAATTGGCTGCTATCATCATTTCCCAGACATCTTCTTTCTTTTTGCACTCCTTGATATCAGCTCCTCTTTATCCCCCCCCACCCTACCACCCCCCTGAACCTTTAATATTTATATATTATTATAGGCTTTGGGGGCATAACTTACACCGTCCAATATATCCATTCACCTAAAATTCTGATGTTTGCTCCCCTTGAGTGGGGTTATACAGTCATCGTTGCTATCAGTTCCCTCTTCCTCCCTTCCCCCCACCCTCCCCAACTTTCAGAGAAGCATTACTCCCATTATTGTTTCGGAGGGGTTTATCTATCTTGGATTCCGTGCATTGAACGACCTTAATTGTACCAATGTACACACACAGGTCTAGCAAGATTAGGAAGGCAAAACTAAGGCCATAATAGTGGGAGGGAATTTTCAGAGAACTAGAGGATTGCTATGTGTTTCATCAGCGCTCTACTGCACCCTGGATATAGCATCCTTCTGTGTGGCCCTTCTGTGAGGGAGCAGACAGTCTGGTCTTTCTCCTAAATAGTGGCCGGGAACTTCGAACCACTGCTTTCTGAAGGAGCAGCCCAGCCTCCTTATGTCACTACGGTCGAGCCCATGTCAACTCACAGCGACCCTATAGGACAGGGTAGAACTGCTCCTTCCCCTGTGGGTTCTGAGAGGGAAAATATGGGAGTAGAAAGCTTCGTCTTCTCCCACAGAGTGGCTGGTGGTTTCGAACTGCTGACCTTGATGTTAGCAGCCCAATGAGTAACCCCCCCTGCCTACTCCACCAGGGCTCTTATGGCTGGTTTATAGCAACAGCAAATTCATTTTGTCAGCTGTGTGTGGGGGTGGTGGTGGTGGTGTGCTGGATGTTGTGCTGTACTGGGGCCCTCAGCTCATTTGATGCTCACACAGCCCCATGAGGTCCGTCTCTGCGGGAAACTGAGGCACAGCAAGTGAGGGGGGACAGGCAGCCAACTAGGAACCAGGTCAACTCCCTACTGAGACGAGCACTGTGGGAGGGAAAGGAGGGTGTGCTTATTCCAGGCCAGATTCTTGGAAGCTGAAGCTGTGAAATAACAAGATAGCAAGTCCCCCAGATTCTTTGTACACAGAAGCAGCAGCCTGGGTCAGCCTGTTACAATGTCGAGTCTGCTCTTATCTAGTTTGGAAACGCAGAGTCTCCGAAAGAAACCGGCAGCAGCCATTCCATTCTGCCCTCCAAGGTCCCTATGAGTCGAAATCACTCAGCGGCAGGGGGGTATATATGTTTGAAGGGACTCTGATGGCTTAGTGGTTATGCGTTGGGCTGCTGACCATAAGGTCAGCAGTTCAAAACTATCAGCTGCTCCGCGGGAGAAAGACTAGGCTTTCTACTCCCATAAAAAGGGACGTCTCTGAAACCCAAGGGGCCAGTTCTACCCTGTTCTATGGAGTCGCTATGAGTCAGAATGGATTCAATGGCCATGAGATTGTGTCTGAGTTTCTTGGGTGGTCCCAGGGTGAAGTGCTTGGCTACTGAGAAGTCGACAGTTTGAACCAGCCCCCCGCGCGCACGCGCGCTGGGTGTTATAACTGGACACTGATGGGGGCAGTTCTACTCTGCTCTAGAGGGTCTCTGAATTGGACACCCCCCCCCCAAACAGCAATTGGTTGGACTTGATTGAGCCCCCTGGGTGGTGCAGTTGGCAACCAACTACCAGCCTGAAGGTTAGGTTTGGACCCACGCAGTGGTCCCCGTGGACTCTCAGCGACCCCATCAGGCAGGGTGGAACTGTCCCGGTGGGTTTCCAAGACTGCAACTCCTTACAAGAGCAGAAAGTAC